CCCTACATTCTGTGTCTGCAAACTGAATTTAAACAGTAAATTTGTGATATTTTTATCCTATATCAGCAAGAGTATTATGGGGATTTTTAAGGCTCTCCACATCAGTAGATGGCTCAGGCAATCGAGTCATAGCTTTTCCATAGGTGGGTTGTTTCTCCATCTATGGAGAAGCTATAATTCAATCGTGGTAAGAAAAAAAAAAGTGTAAATATATATGATTATTAATGTATTTTTGTTAGAATACAGACACTTTAACAGCAATGAATTTTACATCATGTTTTCTGATGTAGATTGTATTCAAAATAGTTTTAAAGAAATGTCACATTACTTCAAATTCATTCAAACTTGAGTTTTTAAAAAAATGGGACATCCATAGTGGAGAGTAGCTGCAGTACCCAGTACATCAATGCAGCCACATAAGAGTCTGCAGTAGTGTGTGCCAGAACAAATAGGACAACACATGGCACTGCCGTAGTATCAGCTGTTACTGACAGTTCACGGCCATGAAACTACAGGTTAAACGCTTTGATGAAATGGCATCAGAAATCAAAACACAGCAGATCATGGATCACGTCAGGGCAAAGCACCTTTCAAGGAGATTATTGAAGTTACCTGTCTCCGAGTCCTTTGACGTGACTGGCCCACAGGTCGGAGCTGGACGCCTTTCTTGATCCTTTGCATCATTTCCTCCACTGCCTGCTGCCTGACATCCACTTCTGGCAGTGACAGACACACAATAAGCAAGAGAGATTTAATCACCAAGTCTTGAGCATTCGTTTTTTTCTTTTTAGCAGACATGTTGTGTTTAGTTGCGTTATTGACAGTAAATATAAAATAGTGCCAAAAATCATGATTTGAGAGGTACAAGGCACTGTGTCATTCACAGGCATCATTACCTCTGCAATTGAAATACAGTAAATTTTGATATAAAAGTTTTAAAATGACAAGCCCTTAGGAGTGATCAGTAAAGTTTTTGTTGGAGAAACTCCAGGTTTTCCTTTGCTATGCCATAAACAATGTACTGCGTTGTATTGCTGGGAACTTCAGAGATGGATTTGGCATCCATAAGAATCCATAGTTGCTGCGATGGCTGCAGGGTTCAAATTACACCTGTGGAGTTCAGAGCCTTTGTAGTGTGAGGTTACCAAAACTACTGTCGATTGAATTATGAGTCTCTATTTGGCAATTTTTCATCCAAAAGCTTGGCAAGAAATTCACAAAGACGACAACAAATAATTGAATTCTACAATAATGCCACCCATTCGCAAAGAAATGTGAATATTTAATTTTCTAACATAGAGCATTCAATAGCATACACACGGGAACAATAGTTGCTAAGATGTCTTTAAAATGACACACAAAGCCTATTTTGTGTTAAAGTAATAGTAAAATATTTTTCTCCAACACTCATAAAGACACTATTATTCAGGTGTCAGAGTCGATGATCCTTGGGTAGCACCTATTCAACCCTCTATGTAATTCCAACAAATACCCTGTGCATAGCACCCAATTCAGGCCTCACATATTCAAGAACTATTTAACAAAATGAGGACACAGCATAGCCTGTTCAGTCAACATGGATGTCCTACCTGCTTTAACAAGTCAAGGCCTCCCTTTGGTTTGCAAAAATTGAAGAATTTAACATCTTGACCCAACAGGCCAATGATGGAGATTTTGAGTTTGAATTTCTCATGCACCATTTGTTACGATGTTTGTGCTTCTACACATGAGCGACTTTGATTTTAAATGGAAAAGGTCAAAACAAATTCTGAAAGGAAAAATTAGGATTCAATACCAGTTCTCTTACATAGAACAAATAAAACAAAGCAGCCATGAGGAGAATAAAATACAAAATGAACATGCATTACATAAAGAAAGAAAAGATACACTGAACGATTGAATTTTGAGAGACTATGAATTACAGAATATAGATATTAATGCTTCTGACAGACTGGCGACCTGTCAAGGGTTTAACTGCCTCTCGCCCAGTGGAAGCTGGGAAAGGCTCCCTGCAGCCCTCTACAGTATAAAGTGGTTTTAGATCATGGTTTGATGGACAGATACTAATGCAGCATTTTGTTCTTTAATAATATTCAAAATATAAAAAATATTCATACCACTTTTACACATACAGCATAAGTAAAGGTCTGGTACTTCACATCCTAAAGACACTTTAATAGATATTTGATCTGTATTTGTGACTCTGTGACTTCAGTGCGACCCCATAACTTTTTACAATTCAGCCCAGACAGAAGAACAGGACAGTGTGTTTTTCTTTTTAGCACTGTGGGTCAAACAGAGCAGAGTTTCAAATCATGCTTTCTTGGGAGAAGTCATAACTGCTTTGTTTCACTGAGTTCTTCTGTCTTTTCTTCTTTCTCCTTAGACTTCATGTTTTCTTCTATTTTTATTTTTTTTCAATATCACCATCATTCAATTTGCATCTACATAGAATAGATTAAAAGACATAAATTATTGTCTAAATGCTGAATGGCATCTGACAATGAGTGAATCTGAAAGAGTGTTAAAATTTGAAGAAGTCAGACAGGAATGAAGGATGCAGTTACAATACATGAAACTTCATGTCAGCACCGGTGATGTTTGCCCTGATATATGAGAAATTGTTCTAATATAGGCTGAAGCAGTTGAAGGCCAAAAATTGCACAGTGTAGAAAATCAACATTCACATCAATAAAAAGTGCTGTTACTATAGTCTTTACTTTGTATTTAACCTTGTTTCTAACTGTGTATGGATTATAATTGGTGGATTATTTTAGAAAAAAGACCTGCAACAGAGATAACACTGCATATTGTAAAAAAAAAAAAAAAATGGTTTAACATGTTCCTTTTTTTTATATTTCTGCTATGATTAACAGGTTTAACCATAAAACATGTTGGGTATACAATGCACATTTTGTGTTTGTTTGATGTGTACCTGGTGTTTCAGCAGACTCCTGGTTGACCAATGGGATGTCAGCACTGATGTCTCTTCTCTTCCGAATCAGTGACAACAGTGAGCTGTAAGAGAAAACACAATCAAATTTTGTGATCAGTTCATTTAATTGTACTGCAGCCGTGAGACATTTGATTCTTTTAAATTTTGCTAAATACAGTCATGGAAAAAATTATTAGACCACCCTTATTTTCTTCAATTTCTTGTTCATTTTAATGCCTGGTACCACTAAAGGTATATGACCTAAAGGATATAATGAACACAACAAAAAAATGCAGCGGAATAATACTTTTTGTCCTATTAGACATGCTTAAGCTTAATTGTATTCCCTGTAGGGTATATAAGAGGCCATTTCATGTCACAAGCAGCACTGCACATGCAAAGGCCTAGAGTGGTTTCCTGCTTACATTCAAGCCGTAGCACAACTCAGAAGATGACAGCTCCCACATATGTCGCACATGTCAGGAATCATCATCAGACCTCCAGGGACCTTAAAAATGAGTGGGCACTGTCAAGAAAGTGACTTGTTTGGCAAGGACAGTTCAAAACCGACTTCTTGAAGCTGGTCTGAAGTCACACTGGGCACGGAAAAAGCCCTTCATCAACCAAAAGCAGAGGAAAGCCTGGTTACTGTTTGCTGGGGATCACAAGGATTGCACTGTTGATGATTGGGCAAAGGTTCTCTTCTGTGATATATCCAATGTTCAGTTGATGCCCACTCCAGCCAACTTACTGGTTAGGAGGGCGCCTGGAGAAGCCTACAAACCAGACTGTCTTGCCCCTACAGTAAAACATGGGGGTGGATCAGTGACGATCTGGGCTTGGTTCAGTATGGGTGGAACAGGGTGAATGAAATTGTGTGAAGGGCAAATGAACCAGGTCATGTACAGGACTACTCTAGAAAACAGTCTTCTTCCATCAGCTGGGAAACTCTTTCCTGCCTCCAATGACTGGATTTTCCAACAAGACAATGCCCGTTGCCACACGGCAAGGTCAGTTAAAGCCTTGATGGAGAACCAGAACATTCCAACCATGCCTTGGCCTGCTCAATCACCAGATCGAAATCCAACTGAAAACCTGTGGAAAATCATTAAAGGCAAAATGGAGAACCACAAGCCCAAAAACAAAACAATTTGCTGTGACAGCAGAACAGTCAGAAGCTGGTGGAGAACATGCCAAGACACATGACTGCAGTCATCAGAAACAATGGTTATGCAATCAAGTACTAACTCCTGTGTGTATCATGTGACTAAAACAGACAGAAAAGAAAACATGGAATGACTAAAAGCACTGTTTTTGGCAGTACAATGCTACATTGCTATTGATGTAAGAACTTAAGTGATTTTGGTTATTATCAATAAAACCATGGAACATGTCTAGATATCAGCTCTTAAATGAAACTCTTATGAGCTATTTTTGTTGTTATCATTATATTTGTCAAAACAAATGTACTTTTAGTTTTACCAGGCATTAAAATGAACAAGAAATTGAAGAAAACAAGGGTGGTCTAATAATTTTTTTCTTGACTGTAGATTGTCAAAACTAGGATGTTTCAGTGTGCACTACACTGTGAGCTGCTTACTTCACCTTGAGGGTTGGTATTAAATATACAAATCATAGAAATTCTTTGTTTATATTGCGGATGCTCCATAAACACCACTCTGTGATTTGTAGGTTAATTAGCTGGGCCTGTTAGTCACTGGACACATTTACTCAGTTATAGTCATTTCAATGAGAGAATGATGTATCAACAATACATCAAACCAAAAAGGATTTTCCAAACTGATGACGTGGACAACAATCTGTGTGAGATCAAACCTGAGTGGGTTGGAAGAAGTGGCTTGGGCTGGAGGTGGAGGTGGTGGTGGTGGTGGTGCTGTTGCTGGTGGCGGTGGTGTTGCTGCTGATCAAACCTGAGTGGGTTGGAAGAAGTGGCTTGGGCTGGAGGTGGAGGTGGTGGTGGTGGTGGTGGCGGTGGAGGTGCTGGAGCTGGGGGTGGGTTGGTAGCTGCCTGCAGCTTCTTCTGAAGCTCCTCAACTGGCAAGTTGAACACATCCAGTTACAGTCCACACATGCAGCACACGCGGTCCCTACAGTGGTTATACTGTGCAGGACTCCATAGTGTACAATGCCCACAGTGCAGCCCATCCTTTCAGTTCCAAATATGCCCTCACCTGTAAACCGCAGATCTTTGACCTCGACTTCGGCCTTGGAACATTTGTTGCTGCACTCCTTCCTCTCCTCCTCCAAGAGCTCCAGTTTGCGCTTCAGTGCCGCGATCTCCCTCTGAGCCTCACAGCTGCTTAACCTGTCCTCCATCAGTTTTATCTGAGGGTGGACCAAGAACAAGACAATCTCATACTTATTATTACACAATATTAAAGGTACTTTTAAAGTCTCAGAATTTGATTTCATTTTCAATTTCATTTTAACTTATTAGGCCTTGTTTGAGTTGTTAGGAGTGATAACACAGGCATATACAGAACATATATATAACACTCAGAGGAGTTTTTCTTTGTTTTTACTTTTTTTTCTTAAGTGTAGAACAATACTTTGGGCATCTCACACACACACACACACACACACACACACACACACACACACACACACACACACACACACACGCACACACACACACATATACAGTATATAAAAAAGTTCAAAAACAATGAGAAACTACTGTAAATGTTTCAGTTGTACAGCTGGATAAGAGCTGATCCGCAGCATAGTGGTGGTTGTGGTGGCTGCAGCTCCTGTGGTGATAATTTCCAATAAATAGCATTGGGCAGCTGCCAGTTGACATCCAATCATCTACTCCCCAGCCACAGTTCCTTAACCAATGTTTTAATTGTTCATCAAATAAAAGGTATGGCTCACCTCCACCCTAGCACCAGGAGAGATCAGTGATCCCTCTCAACTCTAATTGTTTTCCATCAGCGCCAGAGGAGGTGGGAGGGAGCTGAGGCTGTTCTGCTGCTTTAAATTATCAATCTGGCAGGTCATGGCCCCTTGGATTTACTGTCAAGGCCCATGATAATTCACCAGGCATTCCCCCCGTATGTAATTAACCAGCTAAAAAAAAGTCTTGTTTTGATGCATATGAATTAAAGGCAATGTAAATGACATGGGTGCATATTACTGTTCTGTTTCTATTGAATTAAGTTCTAATGAATGACATTTTGGATAATTTGTTCCAAAAGTGTGCCAAATAACATACTAAGTGGTGGGTCTCACTAACCAATATATCTTCCAACACCTACAGCTATTACTTTTATACTTCAGAAATTATTTATAAATAACTTCTACTATCCAGTATACTTTTTTATATCAGTAATTTCTTTGTTTTGTTTTGACTCTAAAATGTGATTCAAAAACATTATTCTAACACTGTATAACTATGTTTAACTGAAGAATAAAGCTGAAATCATAGATGTGAAGTGACAAACATGTTTTCACACCAAGATTGTTGTGAGCTGTTTCCTCTGACTGGTATGTTTCTCCCTCACATGGATTCATTTTACCAGCTGATAACAAAATCAAATGATCAGAGATGGCTAAAATTATGGTGGAGCTAAGCCCTGTCAGCGGTGACCATGGCCATCAGAGCCTAAAACCAGGCCTTTTTTCAGATTCTGTTTTCTTTTACAGATGTATTATTTTGACAAGTAAAGAAACAGTGTATGCTCATTGTAAACTGTACTACTACTATTGTCAGTATTGATTTATTAACTTACATATGAGAGGCTTATTTTTGAATAATAGGCCCAAATCTAGGCCAAAGGTTAGCATTCCTTAAGCTCTGCTGATTGATAACTTTAACCAAAGAAATGAAAATCCCGCTATATGTACGTGTGGTACTGGTAAATAAACCTTTTTGGTCCTGCCACTGCTTTAAAATGTGGGTTTGGATTTTTTCTGTCTATGAGTACTTGGGCTGAAAACATAATTAGCAGAAATGTCTCCAGTTTACAAGTGTTTAGATATTTATGAGGAAACATATGTGGGCAACTTATAGTGAGACTTACCTTCCACATGTTACTTACAACTGATTTCAAATCTGTATCTTTATGTTAAGGTTGTGCATACAGACCTGGTTCTGGTGCTCCAACCTCTGTGTCTCCAGATCCTCGGTCAGTGTGGCGACCTGGCTGAGGGCGTCCTGTAGAGCTTCACTGGGCGCCGAGCTCTGCACAAGGATCTGACTCTGTCTCTTCAGCTTCTTTTGCTGGACCACCATCTTAAAGGACCACAAGGAAAATTGATATTTTATTGTATGGAGGGGAGTCAGGACACATTTGTTGCAACTGACTAAACATAAAAGCTGAACATGTAGAAAACTGTAAAAAAAACACACTGTTCTGGCAAAGTTCTCCGCCTCTGTCCTCAGGTCTCGCTCCAGGTTCAAGGTGTCCTGTAAAGCCTCGTATTCTTCCACAGCAAACTGGGACACTGGACAAAGATTGACACATTAAGAGATTCATGGCTTTTATTGAAGAAATGCCACATGCACTATTTACCCTATATCAACAATCGCTAATTATGATCATCCTCTTTTTATACACGAGATGAATAATAACAATTTTCCTGAAAACAAAAACCACAGCAACTATACAAAATAAAATCCGTCTAACCTCTGTTATATCTCCCCAGGAGCTTCTTTTGCTGCACTGTCTCAGCAATTAAAACAGTGTTGTCGTGCTTTTCTTTCAGCAACTGCAAATGCAAGATAGAGTAAAGACACAAAGCAGGATTAAATTAGAGTTTGTTTTACAGCACATAAAACATGTACAATTATTTATTTATTTATTTTTATTATTAAAATTAAATTTAGTTTCTAGTGTAATTAGCGAATACCATATAATTAATCTAAAATGTACTCATTGTACAGCAGTGTGCACTACATTACCACTATAAAAATAATTGTAGATAACGTGTTTGTGTGAGAGATTACCTCTCACACATGTGGGTTTTTTAGATTTTAAGCTTCTTAGAATTAAAAATGCTTAAACTTACTTCCTCCCTGGTTTGCCTCAGTTGTTCTCTTACTGCCTCATAATCAGTGATTGCTTGACTTTTCTCCTTTAGTGCCAAGTCCAACTTATTTTGAAGCTCTGAAACAACAACATACAAATTAGGCACAGTTAAGCAGAAGTCTTACACACAATGCTGTAGGACACTGCAAACTTGAATGTGAAGTTCGACAGGCCAACTTTCTAAGTATAGAAGACAACAGTTTGTTAGTGGTTGTCTCCTGAGTTGGTAGTCAAACCATTATACTCACAATACTCAGGGAAATAGTTCCTATTATTTGTCAAATAGTGGGTACATCAGTACAACAGCAGAGTCATGTGACGTATCCCACTTTTACCCCTTTTTCTCAGAAGAATGTGTTCAAATTTATTTATTAAGATCAACCTCTTGAGATGTACCATCTAATTTCTGAGACAAAGGAAACTCAAGACATTCTGTTTTCATGCTGAGTTTGCTTGATGAATCCTTCACATCAATCAGACGTACTGGAAAAAAGACAAACAGCTGGGAGCAGCAGAGTTGTGAGTAGGGCCTGACTGTTGTAATGAGGAAGCAAGTACTGTCAAAATGAACAATATAGTAAATTTACCATGTGAGCTGTTGAAGTATGCTACAGGTAAGTACACCCCCTTAGTCTTTTGTCTAACCTGGCCTTTGTTAGCCTCCAGCCTGTATTTGCTGCTATATCAGATTACAGAATATCACTGTAACTGAAGGTTATGTTTTAGCCTTTGAATATTTAATATATACATTTATTCCAAAACAGCTTTAAAAAAAACTGAGAACCCACAATAATATGATGCACTGCACGTTCTTTTATTTCTTAGTGATATGTGGTTGGAAAGCTAGATTTTATGGGAGTGAATATACTGTGAAACAAAAAACAACAACAGCAGCGTCAGCACACGGTATTGTTAAAAGGAATAATGTCAGTCAGTCACAGTCCACTGCATAAAATTTGGGAATTTCTGTGCTCAGGAAATCTGAGAAACGCTTCTGTTCTGAAATCTTTTAAATTACAGAGAGATTAAATTTGCTAATACAAAGCAGCTCACAGCAGGACCAGGCTGAGACATTTAGGAGGGTATTTAAGCAGAAACAGGTCGCTGACACCTAAAACTGTTTTTGAGAAGGGATGGAATGCCCTTTGTTAAGTAGGACAAGGATTCTGTTGAATAAAATTTCCATTAAGTGAAAATGCTATAAAAAATGTGGGAAAAGATGAGCAGTTTGACAGTGGCAGGACCTTACCAGTGATGTGCTTAGCTCAGAATCTACAACAAATGGTCTTGGATCATATTTAGCTGAAATCTACATATGGTAAAAAAAAATAAAATAAAGAAGAAAAAAAAAAGAACTCTACAGCCAAAGTATCCCATGTGTTCCCTGACAGAAAGTGCTTTGACTAGCTGTCTATTAACATGCAATTATGAAATTTCAACATAATAAGCCCACAATCTTTGAGGAAGTCAACTTATTTCTGTATTCAGTCATCTTCTACATCAGAGTATATCATTTGCAAATAACATGATTATCTCTCCCTTTTAATGCCAACAGCCTTGTACAACATGATGGGAAAAGCATCATGGAGTATGAATCCATTATCACCCAAGGTATAATTACTGATTGACTAAAGGAACTGACCATGACATTTCCCAGAGGCAGCTGGATAGGAAGGAAAACAATTCACTAGTACAGTGCAGCATTTCAGACAGTTTAAAACTCATTGAACACTTGGTTAAAACATTTGTCATTTTCTTATTTGACCCTCCATATATGTTCATATACTTTTTCAATATCGAAATGTGAATGGGCAATTGAGCATATATAGCCTTGGATTAAAAGAATTATCCACCAAGGCCATGGTAGTACAGACTGATGGACTCCTCTTTAAAAAAAAGTTAGGTAGACTTCCAAATGCTTGTAACTATATTGTGCTTTTCTATAATTGTAACAACAATCCCTTCTCAACTTCAGGTGTTTTAGACGTCTAACATAATCCTTGCCATTGCCTTATTTTAGTTGCCATGTGTAAACAGTGTATTTTAGAGTGAAATGATTGTGACTATATTGTTAACGCACATCTTTTGCAGATTTCCCAGTATACTGCAGATCAACACATCCATGCATCCATGCTGTAACCCTGGATTCCTGTCATAAATCTGCATTTTCTGAGAAAAATTCAATGCATAAAAAGAGCAGTACTCAAGTGTTTTCACCAGCTTAGTTACACTCCCCACCAGAAAATTCTCTTAGGTAAATGTTGACAGGTAAATTCAGTCATGGAAAAAATTATTAGACCACCCTTGTTTTCTTCCATTTCTTGTTCATTTTAATGCCTGGTACAACTAAAGGTACATTTGTTTGGACAAATATAATGATAACATCACAAATAGCTCCTAAGAGTTTCATTTAAGAGCTGATATCTAGACATGTTCCAGGGTTTTATTGATAATAACCAAAATCACTTAAGTTCTTACATCAATACCTATGTAGCATTGTACTGCCAAAAACAGTACTTTTAGTCATTCCATGTTTTCTTTTCTGTCTGTTTTAGTCACATGATACACACAGGAGTTAGTACTTGATTGCATAACCATCATTTCTGATGTCTGCAGTCATGTGTCTTGGCATGCTCTCCACCAGCTTCTGTCATTGTTCTGCTATCACAGCAGGGCTTGTGGTTCTCCATTTTGCATTTGATGATTTTCCACAGGTTTTCAATTGGATTTAGATCTGGTGATTGAGCAGGCCAAGGCATGGTTGGAATGTTCTGGTTCCCCATCCAGGCTTCAGCTGACCTTGCTGTGTGGCAAGGGGCATTGTCTTGCTGGAAAATCCAGTCATTGGAGGCAGGAAAGAGTTTTCCAGCTGATGGAAGAAGACTGTTTTCTAGAATAGTCCTGTACATGACCTGGTTCATTTGTCCTGTTCCACCCATACTGAAACAAGCCCAGATGGTCACTGATCCACCCCCATGTTTTACTGTAGGGGCAAGACAGTCTGGTTTGTAGGCTTCTCCAGGCTTCCTACTAACCAGTACGTTGGCTGGAGTGGGCATCAACTGAACATTGGATTCATCACTGAAGAGAACCTTAGCCCAATCATCAACAGTCCAATCCTTGTGATTTCCTAACCGGACTTTCCTCTGCCTTTCGTTAATGAAGGACTTCTTCTGTGGCCTATGTGACTTCAAACCAGCTTCAAGAAGTCAGTTTCGACTGTCCCTGCCAAATAAGTCTCATTTCTCCACAGTATCCACTCAATTTTAAGGTCCCTGGAGGTCTGATGATGATTCCTGACACAGGATCAGATGAGTGCACGGTCATCTCGTGGGGTAGAAAGACGTTTCGTGCTGCGACCAGCTAGCAATTTGGTAGTACCATGTTGGGCTTGTTTTTTCTTGGTGTAATGAACGGCTGTCTTGGAGATCTTCAGTTTTTTCGCTACCTGTCTCTCACTCATGCCAATTTCCAGCAGTGCCAAGATGGCTGCCTTTGTGGCCTCACATATTTATTTTGTTTTTGGCATTATGTGAGAGCTGACAACTTCTGAGTTGTGCTACAGCTTGAATGAAAGCAGGAAACCACTCGAGGCCTTTGCATGTGCAGTGCTGCTTGTGACATGAAATGGCCTCTTATATATCCTGAGAATACAATTAAGTTTAAGCATGTCAAACAGGACATAAAGTATTATGTAATCAGCTGCATTTTTTTGATGTGTTCATTATAGTCTTCAAGTAATACACCTTTAGTGGTACCAGGCATCAAAATGAACAAGAAATTGAACAAAACAAGGGTGGTCTAATAATATTATATAATAATATTTTCCATGACTGTATATGTTATTGCTGCCTGTTTGGGGAATACATGAATGCTGTGTCCACATAGCTACAGCTGCAAATACAGTATAAGCATAAAGTACATTACAACCGGAGGATTTAGACATCATATACCTGAAATGGTGGTGTGGCACTCGGGCGAGGTGCAGATTTTGACAGCTGCATGAAGGTCCTCACTCTCCTCCTCTTCATCGTCAAGGTTGATCTCTGTGATGGTCTCTGGGCTGAGGTGGGACAGCAACATCATGCTCTTCCTCTTCAGAGAGCGGTTCTCCCGGTTCAACTACAGTGATGATGCAAAGACAGAAACACAGAGGACAGAGGCGGGCATCTTAATGGACACAGTAGTCAAGAATACAATGGAGAAAATATTCAATAGCATTCATAAACTATTTACAGGTGCTACATCTAATTATTTTATCTCAGGGGCTCATCTTTTGCACGTGCAGGAGTCCAGTAGATTTTCTCAAGTCTCTTGCAGTGGTTTTCAAAGAAAGTGCATAATCAAGGAATTTAACACTTCTATCCTTTTTTCATAATGGTATGTTACATTAATGACATCATCATGCACAGAAATATACAAAACAAGATATTTATTTTTAGTTAATGCAAAGCTGACTAATATTTGACAGATGCTCTCATATTCCAAAATAAGCTTTTGCAACCTTTTTTTTTTTTTTTTTTTACAAGACTATTGGTTAACTTTTTTTTTCTGGCTAAAATGTTATCAGAAGCTTCTGTTTATAATTTTAAATGGAAAACAAAATGAAAAGTCCACCGGGCACAATAGTGGCATAGGCAAAGGAAGACTGAAACTTCTGCAGAGTGCTTATATGACTGAAATTAACAGCTGACTCACTATTACATCACATCTATGTCAATTTTATCTGATGCAATCTTCATAAGCAACATGCTCAGGTTATTTAGACAAACATCTGAAATTTATGAAGCAAAGTATTTGAATACCAGCGTTTGCACTACAGTTTGTCTGGGGCAAATTTTGGGCAAGAATTCAATTTTACAGTCAAGTATTATGAGTAATACAATTACACTGACAATAAAGTTTGTATGTGCCACTTTGGATCACCAGTATTCACATCAATTTAAGACAGTTTTATTTATTTTGTTTTAAATTTGATGATTATGGCTTAAAGCTGATGAAAATCTGAAATTTCAGATTCAAATCAAATTATTATTGTATTTCTATAGTTCAATCACATAAGGATTTACAATACAAAAATGTCCAACTTAAAAAATATATATGTTCATTTATACATTTAATACTTGTTGGGGCACCTTAACCATGAATTGCTGCATCAGTGCAGCGTGGCATGGAGGCGATGAGCCCGTGGCTCTGCTGAGGTGTTACTGAAGCCCAGGTTGCTTTGATAGCAACCTTCAGCTCGTCTGTATTTTTGGGTCAGATGTTGCTCATCTTCCTCCTAACAATTGACCGTATGGGGTAAGTTTGTAAGTTGTCTGGTTAATCAAGTATAGTAATATCATGGCCAGCAAACCATTTGGTCGTAGTTTTGGCTCTGTGGCTGTGATGACTTTAGACTTGATAAAACTCAGTGGACCAACGCCAGCAGATGACGTGACACCCCAAATCATCACAGACATCATACAGTAAACTTCACACTGGACTTCAAACACGTTGGATCCTGAGTCTCTCCACTCTTTCTCCAGACTCTAAAACCTTGATTTCCAAATTGCATACAAATTTTTTTTCATCTGAAAAGAGGACTTTGGACCACTGAGCAGCAGTCCAGTTTTTGAGCTGATATCTGCCCTTAAAGGCTGATGTGCTTCACGTGGGCCTCTACTAAGTATTTTACAGAGTATGTAAATATTAGATTTCTGTCCAACTGACTATTGTAACTCTGACTGTAACTAACTGTAACTTAATACCTTCTACTCTGTGTTTCCACTTTCTGATACATGCAGACACACTGGATTATTATTAGCAAAGCGGCCAGACTGAGTGAGAGGTTCAAGTAGTCAGGTTCAGTTTGGTAATTATGGGGACAACAGCTTTCAAAGGCTGTATTAATAGCTTTAGACAAAAATAAATCGCACAGAGTAAAACAAAAGTTCACATTAGAGTCTACTATTCTTTGTCTACCATTCATTACTGTAATTATCACTTTGTCTTAACATATTGAATCTTAAAATTACACAGATACATTTAAAATGTAGATGGTTGGCCTAATTTGCACAATTAATCCCTGAAGCTGCTCAATGACAACAGCTCACTTCTGCAACGTCTCTGTAAATTCTGCTAGACATGACGCAGCAGCGAAGGGGTTACAAACATGCAGTAACACTGAAGATGTTAGAATGTACACTCTTTTAAGCTGAAAATAATAATACTTGGACACATAATTTGCACTCAACAGCACAGTCATGATAACCACACTTAAAGTATAAATACTCTTACTGTATCACAGCATGAAAAATACATGGTGCTGAAACATAAAGCACAACTTCAGCTGAATTCAGCACATGTGCACAAGATGACATGAATCCAACAAAAACTGACATGAAGTGCACGTTAAAGCCCCTTCACTTTCCAAATCTGCATAAAGTCACTGGTGTGCTTTGTATGAAGTGAGTGAAAAACAGGCAAAGAAAGCGACAGACAGGACAGATGAGATGTTTGTTCTGATTTCCTCTTTTCTTTGGCCCTGCAATCAGTCATAATGGCAGGACATATGCAAAAGGAATGATAAGGTGTGAAAAAAAACAGACATCATTAGAGCAGCCTGAAGAAAAAGGCAGTGACTATCTGTTCTTTAGCTGTAATCACAGTTTTTTGATGTGACATGTATTTGCATTTCTGTGTATCATGTTTTTCTGTGTGATTATCACTTCTAACACGTTTTTCTTTTAAATTCTTTGCAAATGATCTGCTCTGCACGAGGCATATACTAAACTGCCACAATGGACATTCCATTTCTAAAAGTTCAATCATCAAGATGGCCATATGTACCAATTAAGGAGACCATTACTAAGTAAAACATGAATGAAGACTATGGGAAGGAGATGGATGCCAATTATGCATACTTCTTGATGTCATCTGACTGAAGAAAAGTGCCTGTAGAGAAGAAAAAGGGAAGGGAAATAGAAAAGGCAAGCCATAAAGGAAACATTTATTAATGGCATCCTGGTGGGAGCAGATTGCAGCAATTCTATCTTTTGATGACACCCTTCAGGCTGCATCTTTTTTCCTGAAATGCAATCAACAATACATAACATGGAATCACATTCTTTTGATAATAATCTACAATTGGTGAGAGATGTACATATAAAATTACATACTCAGACGAATCAAGGCTGACATAGCATCAGGATAGCACTCTCTGGAGGTCACCATTACAAAGTCACAGCCCTTGATTTTACCTTGATCACACATCAACACAAAAATATTAAGCATCAAAGCCACATTCTCATCTGACTGGTTTTAAATTGCTAACGCCCTCCAGTTGCTTTTTAATTCAAAATGTTGACGAGTTAAGGAATTGCTCTGAACTTTCTTTCATAGTGGCCTTGGGAATATTTGGTGTGGAAAAATTACCATCATTTGGTACAAAGAAATTAACAGAGTTCAATTTGTCTGTCCTCCTCTGGAACGCCTTCTTGTGTATTCTTGGTTTGATTTAAATGTAACTGAGTAATAAACTGATGTTTACACTTTCCCAGTGGATGAATTGTGACTTTACAGTATTGCTGAAATACTGCAGAAAGATCAACAGTGTAGAAAAAGGCAATTGCAACTATATTCTATTCACAGTACTTATGGATTAATGGTGAATAAATGTGTTGCTTTTAACTTAAGCAAATGAATAGTTGATGCATGTATATATTCTCTTCTGGATATGGCTAATCAAGGACCATGTGTCTGTCTGCCCCCCACAGTGAGTGCTCATGCACCCTGCTGTATTAGACAGGCACAGGGAGTGTCTAGTTATAGCCACTGTTTTATATCAAGGAAGAAGAGGAGGAAAGAAGCAGTGACCAAAGACATCAAATAAAGCTTGAAAGAGAGTAGTCACTTAGACTGCCACGAAGCAAGCTTTTAGCCAGTATATTCCTAAGAACAAATAAATTCATTTCAGCTGTCAGGCCAGGAATGGGCTAGTTTATTGCTGCCTCTTAGCGCCCCTCTTCAGTGGACATACACTGATACATTATGTCTTTTCTGAAGACAATTCTAGTACTCGGTCAGTTGGAAAAGAAATGTGACACAAAATAATCTCCCACATTTCAAGGCAATGACAATTCATCACACCTGATTCTTTGTCATCGGTTGCTAAGAATTCACTTTGTAGAAACCCTGAAATTCCAAACTAACAAATTTTCATCCATAGAGTACAGTGACAAAGTACTACACACAATACTGCAGCATATTTCGTGGGTTCTGTAGGTCTCCTGCTTTTCATTTGACAATACGGTTTATGTTTATGTTCTTCTTTGTAACATTTATTTTGGAAAAAAATGGGCAAAAAAAGCACACGTGGCCAGTGGTACAGACAACAAAACACTGTTTGTGTCTTATTTCACACCAACAGTCATCATTTTTCTTAACCATGACTGTTCCATAACTTTACTCGTGTGTTTATTATTGTAATCACAACAAAAGAACAAATGTCCTCTATTTTAACACAAACCCGGATTTTCCCCCTAATCCTAACCAGAGACAATCAGCAGTTATGTAAATTGAAATAAAAACAACACTGTTGTTATTTTCAATTTGTTAAAATATTATGAAATATAAAAATGTGTGTAATCAGAACTATTTAATATAAATGGTATAAATATGGACTTCACATCATGTGATAGCAATACTGACAGTACAGTTGCTATTGAGCCTGTGATCTCATGTGGTGGCACAAGCGTAGCACTCCCTGCTCAAAAAAGCATAAAGAAATGATGAAGAATTGAATTGCCTGTGCTTATGTGCCTCATAGTCATGTCAGCGATTATTTAAAAAAAATACTTTACTGACATTACTTTTAATTTGTGTGAGAATACTCATATTTCCTGTTTCAGGAGGTTAGCAAAATAAGTGTGTATATAGGACTTTCAAAATGTTGATTTTGGGGTTATAAAGAATCTGAAAGTTAAGAAAGACATGCAGTAAGTTCTGGCTGACTGGGGATCAAACTCGGGACCCTGTTTGACGGCATTTGTGCCAATGTGTAAAAAATGCACGTGATTTTTGGTTTTCAGGTGACCCAGGCTGTGTTCTAACTGGTGGCTTCAGATCATCCACTCTGTCCGGCGCTCTCTGTGCCCCACACAGCGGTTGAAGTTTTTTGCACCGGCCACAGCTGTAAATTATACTGCAACAATCAAAGTACATTTCTCCAGTGCAGAAACATCTAGAATAAATGTAATATATGATCATGTTGAATCCTAGAGTAATAAAATAATCATTTGTTATTGGTTAATTAAAGTTAAAAAATCCTTTAACCTTCACAAAATGTAAAATGACTTGCACCAATGAGTAACGGATAATAGCAGGTAAACACCAAATATGTTGAAGGTCACATTTTTTTTAACTAACCTCGATATCTTATGGTCATTTGGGCCAGTAAATACCTTACTTGTCAACCCTGGAAGATGAAGAAGGAAAACAAGTCAAAGGAGAAAAGAGGACTGAAGGCCAAGGAACGGTTAAAAAAAAAAAGTCGACCTTCACCATAATTCTCCCTCAGTCCCCCACTGCCCAAAATCTGGTCCAACCAGGTGGACTGTGAGGGCTTTTGTCCAGAAATTGAATGAGAAATGATTACAGTGATAAGCTCAGCACCAGTGGGCTGCAAAATTACTATGTGCCAGGCTCCCCCACTCTCAATCACAACTCACATTTTAGCAAGGACTCCAAAAAAGTGTGCTCTGAATCAGAAGAATCCAATGCAATTTCAGACACTAAGATATGGGGACAGCAGCAGTGCTGAAGGACCACAGAGTGCTTTTGATTGCAACATAAAAAATTGGCTGAGGTGATAGTTATGGGAACACACTGACCAGAGTGTCATCGTAAATGGCTCAATGAATAATATAGTGTGTATTTAGTCAAGTTTGTTCTAAATCAAGAAATCCTACGATTCTTACTACATTATTTCTCCCTTGTTTTAAATAAATAATACCACTATATTGGTTGCAATCATGTTTTATGAGATTTTAATTCAAATTGAATCTGAGGATGACAGTAATTTGATGACACGATAGTCTGCTGGTTCGTTGTTTTTGAACAATATTGTACACAGCATTTGTTCAAAGACACACTGTACCTTGGAGGCCAGGGATTCGGCACTTTCTCTACACATCCTCTCGATCTGCAGGTCCTCCTGAATAGCACTGACCTCCTCAATGACCATCTGAGAGACTTGGAAAAACAGAGAATAAAAGTTAACGAACACGATAAACCATTTAATAACTTGTTGTACAGCACCAAATGTCTAATCTAGTGTGAAATCTTTAGGATCCAATCTCACAATGTGACTTCTATTACAATTTACTATTACAAGCCAACTGATCAAAGCATGAAAAATACACTGGCTGGTACGGCATTGTTGGTACTCATACACATAGTAGCACAAATATATTTGAAAGGAAATACAGAGGTTGCTTAAATTATTGTCACTGATTTATTTATTTATTTATTTATTTTTAAGGAAGTACTAGGTTTCTGTATTGCACAAAAGTCGAGTGATTCTCATTATTTAACTAAAACCACAATGTTTCCCCAACTTTGACGAGGAGCTTTGAGTTGTCTAAACACAAGCATGGTTCTCTGCTTGAGTTAGCATGAATGGATCTTGTAGGAGACTGATTCACTCATTGAAAATGTTCCACTATATGGTATTTGTTAATCAATTTTAGCAAACAAAATGTTTACAGAAGAGCTGTTGAGAAGTAAAAATAGCAATAACGCACACATTCACACAAAAGTCAGGTTTTAAATATCAAATTACAAATTTGCCTTAAAGAGGTATACGGGCTGTACAACATTCAACATCCACTATCCTCTGCAATACAGCCCCCAAAAGCCCTTTATGAGGAAAGTATCAAGGAAAAAAATATAGGGAAAAACAACAGAGGAGAGACTCCTCTTTTAACGTGGCTGCAGAGAGAAAGAACAAATGAGTATAATTACAATATGGAAAATATTTATAGCCAATAAAAGTCCTACATTTGTTTGAATTAAGATTTATTTTTGGGGCTTATTGGCTTTATTTGATAGGGACCATGCAGAGAACAGGATGAGGGAGAAAGAGCAGGGAAATGACATGCAGCATGTGGACCGGCTGTCATAGAAATGAACTTGCTCAGGGCATATGGGCACATAGGGCACCACAAACCATCTACACAGAAGTACAATTATACAAGTATTGTCAGCACAGTACTTTTTCATTGTATTACAGCAATTCTTTGTAGCATTTTAGAGGTTGATAGTTGGATGATGTGAAGCTAATTTTGACTGCATTGTACACTGTTCAGGAGATCAATCTATAACAAATTTAAATTATTATTATATTTTTTGCATGTGAAATAAAATAAAATAAAAAATACTAATAATTAACTGTTACTGTACGTGTTAAACAGAGGTATTTTAGTAAAAAGAAGATTAATTTCCAGCTAAAATATTGTGATGTAGAACTAGAAAACTGTATACAACAAGAATATTTAAGTGATGTACAAGTACCACGAGATTGGATGTAAGTACAGCACTTTAATGAATATTTTGGCGTAACATTCTCTGCTGACAGACGTCTTGAAAGTGACTCACACTATGTTGCTTGTAAGGACAAATATTCTTAGACACTATTAACGAAAAACAAGGTGAAATAATTTTTATCAACACTGAATTAAGAAAGAAAGCAACGCTTGTTCATCCTACAATTTGTACTCTTTAGCAAAGAAGTCCACTAGTCAGTAGCCTTCATTGATGTGACAATGTTAATGAAATATGAAAAGCAGCATGTAAAATTCTACTGAATGACAGCATTCATGTCAATGCGAACTTAAAAAGTCAACTCATGGCCATTCAGCCTGATCAAAATGCCATCAAGGAAACAAAGAACATGATTAGGATTTCTAAATGAGTGGGTGCATACCTGTGACTTTTTATTTCATTGCGCAGTTAATTGAGATAAGAGTGCCCCAACACTTGACACTGAAGTCTATTCCTGTTTGCTATTGTGTCTGCCATCTGAGTAGCCTCAATGGTGAATGACCTACGTACATCATTATGATTTGAATTTAAAAGGAAGTGAACTAAATGTTTTTCCCAATGTATCTTTTATTCAGATAATTTCCCTACCTTTTTATTTTCATCAGCCAGGGCCAATGTGTATTTAGTATAGCCTGAATACATGCAGGTAACAAGTGTAGTGTGCCCAAGACTATGAATAAAAGTTGAGTATACGTAGAGTATGTATAGAGTGGATTTGGGCTTTCTGTTAGGAATCCAACCTGTGACGTTGCCGGTGACCCTGGGTGAAGGAAATATTTGTCTTAATTCTTTGCTAAACTATTGTCTCATGGACAACAGCAGGGTTGCACTAGAAAATAATTTGACGACATGGACAGTTAATTTTCATTTGTGCTTTAACCCCTTAAAACTGATAATTCTAGCAAAGAAAGCAGGTTGGTATTTGGGTCAGGGTGGTCCAATATACATAAATTGCTTTACTATTTGTTGTTTCAAGGTGAAAAGCTCAATAGAATTTTTAATATCATCACCTTAAAAAAGTTGTTCTGGCTGATGTGCTGCCTAGCTGTAAAGATGTGGCAATATCTTTAATAGAAGTACAACATTTATGAGCCAGATATTGGACACATCTGTCTGTGCAGACATCCAATGCTGTATAAACAGAATCAAACAGTATAGACAGCTTTCTGCTTTCCAGTTTATCACGGCCTTTATCAAACAATTGCTTCTTTACGCATCGAGCTGACACGGCGCAACAATAACATTTATTTTGAGTCATGATTAAGTCATGTGGGTCTTATCTGGTCATATCCACAGTACCGGTTGCCTTAAACAGCTGGCTGCTGCTGGTCACTATCGGGTTGATGAAAGTAAAATTTACGAGTTAAAAACCAACCAGGTTAAAAAGCTTCTCACTCAATAAATGGTGATGCTTCTCATTGTGAGCAAAACCTATACACACAGTTATTTTATTGATTGTTGACATGAAAAATATAGATCAGTGTTGCTTTAACAAAAGCTTGGTAGTTAAAAAAAAAAAAAAAAAAAAAAAAGACAGGTAAAATTCCAATCACAAACTGTAATGTTGTGTAAAGCTGCAATCACACCTCAGTAGGAAAAGAATGCCCCTAAAGAATGCCCTGCCACTTAACTAATTAAACATTGTGGTTGAGCGAGGGAAAAATTAAGCATTAGTGCCACTGCTGTGGGCAATTCCTTCCCCCCAGTGACACCTAATTAAGAACTTGATGAACGTCAGTCCCGGGCGATATCCACGTTCCTCTGGCGCACTCCACATCAGTCATTCAATAGCACTTAGCTGCCAGTTTTCTTCTTCAACCTCTTCTCCGTTCCTATCTGCCCATCTCCATAATGCCGTGGCCACATTCAGCAACCTACGAAAGGACGCCTTGAACTAAACGACATGTTAATTATAATTACTGGTAGCCATGGTAAATAAACAGTGCTGGAAGTGTTGAAAGTGTATGAGCGCGAGTCTACAGGGGGCTCTGACACGTCAGAATTGGCAGTCTTAATTGTAAGTTTCGGCCTCCCCATCATCATCACTCCATCTTTTTTCTCCCCTCTTTTTTGTGCTTGTCTTTTTTCATCCTCCTCTCAGGAAAGACAGTGATTACCCCTGTGCCGACGTGCTGCATAATGGTATCAGCGCCGCCAACGGAGCAGTGAATTAAATTGTATCTGCAGCCGCTGTGAAGCCTTGATGAGGGGGGCAGATGCCTTTGTGGTGTTATCATTATAACACAATGGTCATGTTGTCATCAACCTTGCCATCGCCAATTGAAAAGGCATGATTGTGTGTTGGGGGCTTTTTCTCCCGTCCTCCCACTACCCCCCCCTCCCCCCACCAACCCTGCTGCCCCACCCCCAGCCGTTTCGTTGTGAATAGGAGCAATTTTCTAAGAGCTATGAAATCACGTAATAGGTCCTAATATGCAGCTGCTTGGCACAGTGAGGCAGCCTCTATTAAAGCGTAAGTCAAACACAATATGTGTTTTGGCTGGAGAATCACTGAATACACGAGCACAGGCCAGATTTATTCAGATGAAAATCCACACAACTGTCACCGTTACAAAGACAAACTATTTGCTCCATCTTTTGACATGTGGTGCCCTATTTCAAATTCTGTCTTCACTAAAGTGGTCATAGCAAAGCATTCAACCTGTAAAGAAAATCATTTTGGAAAATTGAATGGTAGGCCAAAACATTTGAAACGTATTTGCAGAGTCCGGAAACAGATTCATGATAAAAGCCGAATCAGCGACAGTGTCATTCCAACAGCATTATCTGTGTCCTGGCTCACAGGTTTTGTACAACTTGATCATTGTCAATTCAACATATGTTTATCACAACACACGGTCTCTTATGAGCGCATGTGTTGTCGCAGATGAGATCCTATTGTATTGATAGACAATCTTACACAGTTTATTAAAAAACTGTATTTGTTCTGTTTCTGTTTTTAACCCTTCTTGTGTCACTGCATTTTATTAATATCACAGGCTTGCTTGAAAAACAGCATCTGATAATTGTTCCCATATGACTACATTACAAATTAGTTCACAAAATGAAAAACTGCTCGCCAAGACCTTCGCTGTGATGAATAGATAATCCATTCTTTTTTTGTCTATCGGTGTTTTTGTGACATTTGATGAAATATTCTTAGAAGAAAATACAACGCTTTTAGTGTCATAGTGAATGAAAAATAATGCAGTTAATAAATCAGCACTATATTATACTTCATGTGTAGGTGTTTTGCATTTTGATATGCAGCTTAATATAAGAGTCAAGAGAAAAAAATCATCTCACAAGTTGTATGACAGAGGAGGTAGTTAATATGTAACCATGAGCTACCTGTGCATCTTTTTTTTTTTTTTTCAAGATATTTTGGGGGCTTTTCTGCCTTTCATGTACAGGACAGTGAAAGAGTGACAGAGAAACATGGGGAGAAGACATGCAGCACATGAGCCGCTGGTTAGAATCGAACCGCAGCCGCTGCATCGGGGACTATAACTCCTGTACATGGGTCGCCTGCCCAACCAGTTGAGCTATCCAGCCACCGCTACCTGCACATCTTTTAGCCCAACTGGAGCAGGTAAGAAAGATCATCAAGATACCGAGTTCAATCAGACAAAACTAATACTGTACTTGCAATCAAAATTATTAAAATTTCAGTAAGTACAGGTCAACATCAGCATGGAAGGTCTTCTGTCCAGGTGTGAGCTGTTTGCTGCTGCATGCACCAGTGAATGTGACTGTATAGCATCTCTGGTTCTTTGAAATATCAGAACACTCTGAAGAAGAATGTAAAGCCCTTAGTGTGTAAACTGAAGCCTGGTGATCAGCACATTTTAACCACGTTTCATATTGGCCAAAACAAATGTCATCTCAGGGCACTTTACATAGTGATATCCAGGTCTAAAAATATTATCAAGGGAAACCAACAATTTCCCAATGAGGAGAACAGTGAGAGAGAAAAAATGGAATTCAATATACTTTCTGTCAAATTCAGTGACTATCTTGTTATAGTTCACCATCTGTTCATTCTGTGTTTGTGCGCAGCCTTGGTTCTGTAAATGGTAAAAACACAAAGTGGCCTGGACTGATCCACACAACACTATTCCAGCAAGCCAACAACAGGGGGTGTTTGTGTGCACAGGACGGCCCTGTGAATCCCTACACGAGGAGCTGATTGTGCCCAGATCTCCACCCCGCAGCAAATGCAACAGTAGGCTGCCTTAGGCGCTGGCTCTGGCTCCAACAAGGAATGGACAGTGTCTGCTGCTGACTCTATGGTTCCCCTGGCCGGTAAAAACTATCTCATGAACTAATACTTGCTAGTTTTTACTCTTTCATGTTGATACTATTTTTGAGCTTAGATTCTGTTGATGCACTTGATGGTGTTTTTTTCTTTTATAATTTTTGTTTGGCTTCAGCTATGAGAAAAAGACAACCCCTTCCATGCTTAAAAGCCTGGTATTTGGCTTTAAACATCAACTAACTTCCTCAGGATAGGCTCAGAGTGGCTGTCCAGCTGACTCAACAGGTTGGCTAGAGTGTCATGAAAACAAAAGCCTTTGAAGTTGGATAAGGACGCCAGGAAAAGGACACATTCAGACATGAGTTAGACATTAGAGCAGCCTCCTGTCAAAGTAGAGTGAAGGTTCTAAGAGAAAGGTGATTTAGGATTGAACAGACACCAGTGCACAGTGTGATAACAGTTAACCCTTATTATTTTATTAACCTCATTTATAGAACGAATGTAGAATGGAAACATTTCTGACTGAAACTCTGGACACACATTGACAGCGAGACAAACTTACCTTGCTGGAACTCATCAAGCTTCTTCATGGCCTCATCTCTCTCCTTCTCCAGCCTCTTGCACTTATGTAGGAGAGACAGACAGCAGCTTTAACACAGGACCACTGCTGTTTGAATCAACTGTTAACCTGTCTGCAAATGCAACAGCACAACTTGGAGACGGTCTGGAAAATCAACTCATTTAGTGTAACGAACACATGTTAAGAGGTATTGAAATATTAATTACATAATACTGAAGTGTAATTGAGGAAATACAGCTGCTGTCCCCAAAGTGCCTCTGATGTTACCTTTTTAAAAAGCCCACTTCAACATGTATCTTAAATGACACGATGTGCAAGAATAATGAGGACACATTTGAGGCTGTGTGGTATTACATGGCTGTTGACACATTGGAAACGAACCAGTCTGGGAAACATTTCCAGCCTTTTCTCTGTTAGCATTTCCAGCCATTTACTTGCGTAATTAGAAGAGTTTTTTTGAATATCCTTTAATAGCCATGTTTCCCCGTCTGCATCTACTTATTCCTCCCCCACCCGTTTTTCTTCAGTCCTCTTCATTCACTTTATGAGATAAGGCCAAGCAGTATTATCTGTCAGGAAATCCTGAAGGTGCCACACAGTATACTGAGGTCACTGATTCTTTATTGATTATCAGTAACAGAATACCATGTTAACTTCCAGCGCCCATACGTTTGCTTCCATACTGACACAAAACATTTTTCTCCTCACAGTGATGATTTTTCTTTAAAACAAAACCTCTTTCCTATCAAGCAAAACAAATGCACATAACTGAATTACAGTCTTAATTATCACTATTCTACAAGCTACAGAATAAACTGAATGTGTGAGTAAGTACAGTCTGATTGATACCAGCTTGAAGTACCTGATTTTATGAAAAATGGTGCAAAGTTTGACATTTATTATTTATCACATTTAGAGACGACTGTCACAAACTTTATTCACGGACTGTTTTTTGTTTTGCCACCACTGTGAAACAACATGGTCATAGGTGAACAAAACCAACACTGACAACTGGACATGTTAGAGGTCCTTGCTGGGTAAATGTAAAGAGGATGTTTGTGATACTTAAATAAACATAATGCTGTTAACATTTATGATGTCTCCAGTGAAAAGTTCCTTTCTTAAACAGGCTATGAGCACTACTACTCGAGCTATTTCTGCTTTTGCTGCCGGTTACGGTGCTGTTGCTGCTACTACCGCTATTGCATTTACTGCTTTTTCAGTTCCTTTAACGACTATAACTGATCTGTATGACATTCATCATCTTAAGAGGTAGACCAAACTGGCTTAACTGTGCATGATGTCAGTACGACAAAGATTTTAACACTTACTTCCTTGGCTGCTGTCTCATGCTTTCTCTGCAGGCCATCGTACTCCTCTAAGGCTGTGGGGAGCAAAGGATGCCAGTAAGCCATTTTCATGAGTAAATTACAGTCGAGCTAATGTCAGTGAAGGAACATGGCACCTAATCTTCCTGTTAAAAAAAAAAAAAGTCAAGTGGAAATTTGTCCAGCATGTGATAACTTGTCATCCAGTGATGCTTGTGTGTCACTAGACTATTAGAGCAGGTCATTTTAAATATAGTAACACTGTGACTGTGAGAAAATGTGTCTTGGGTGTGACAACAGTAGTTAGAAGAACTGCCTTCTATCCGTATTAGTAGATAATTTGACAGGTCTCCATCAAGACAACATGTCTCCAGACTGTGTCACATGAGTAAAATATGTTTAAAAACAACACATTTTGAAGGCCATTATGTAAAATTGTCATAAACCACAATGTATAATGCAGCTAAAATAGACTTATGACACTGGCCTTCGGGATTTATGGAACAGGAAGCAGAATTAGGATTCCCCCTTCTAGTAGTGCGGTACACTCTTAATCAAGGCCTCTGTAAAGGAATGGTCAGATTTTGGGATATAAAGTGTGTTTGCTAGAAGCATACCAATACTCAGTTGAAACGACTGATATCCATTTCATCTGTCCATCCCTTATTAAGTAAAAATAAGTCAGAAAGTATTGCTGGCAGATTTATGATGGTGTTTAAACCTGCCAGAACCACTTAACATGTTCAACAAACATGCTAAATGCAACACATTTAGCCAGAAGATTTCTAAAAATGGTCGACCTAAAGTTCTATTACACTTAAACTTGTATGATGAAAGTATCTGCACAGAGAGTACTTTTAGTTTCCCAATTTTCTATTGCTGAGAATTTTCTATCCATTCATCCATCATCTATACACCACTTAATCCTCACTGGGTTCACTGGAGTCTATCCCAGCCAACTTAGGGTGAAGGCAGGGGACAGCCTGGACAGGTCACCAGTCTATCACAGGGCTACACTTAGAGACAGACAACTAAGCACACTCACATTCACACCTTCGGACAATTTAGAATCACCAATTAACCTCAGTGTGTTTTTGGACTGAGGGAGGAAGCTGGAGAACCCAGAGAGAACCCAAACCCCACGCAGAAAGATCCTGGGTGTCCTCACTGGGACACGAACTGGCGATCTTCTTGCTGCGAGGCAACAGTGCAAACCACTGAACCTCAGGAGTAAAAACATGTGTTTGATCAAATGACTGTGGGCCATGTAGGCTCCCAGCACAGAGTGGGACAAGTCAGGGCCGTTTATGGGATTCACAAACAAGAAGTTGAGCCTGGCTCTGGGTAGAGGTTGGCTAACAGCCTCCAACTGCTCATGGACTTTGGCCATTAAACAAAAGCCCTCGAAGACATGAGTCAGACATCAGAGCAGCCTGTAGAGGGAAGGTTCTAAGAGAAAGGTGGCTTAATATTTAGCAGCCTTTCTATCCCAGTACGCAGTGTGATAACAGTCAACCGTTTAATAGCCTAAAAACTGCTAACACCGCTCTGGCTATTACTGAGCTATATGACAATTACTACAACAGCCTCAAACACGCGCTACAAGCAGCTCATCCACAGCGAGTGTGACGCGCTGAACGTGACCCGGGCCCGACCAGACACCCGTCACCCGTGGGAGCCTGTCAGACACGAAGCTCACGGCAAGAAGAAGAAAAGACACCTACCTGTGTTTGACAGGTGTGTAATGGCATTCATTCTGTGTAGCTCCTCAGCAGCCATGTTGACAGAACGTTTATCATAAAGTTCAACACAGGAAGTGCTCTCTCTCTCTCTCGAGACACACCTGCCCGGACAGACGGTCTCGCGCTCCAGATAAGGCTGCAGTGCACGGAGCCGCAGGTGCTCGAGACCTGCAGGAGGTCCACACTGCTGTTGTTTAGAAAAAACAATAATGCTAATGTTAATAAAGTCTGATCACTAGTTCAGTCTTCAGCACATTTGAGTGCGTTGCAGCAGAAAATAAGATTGGATTTAACCTGACATGTTTAAATACTAAAGTTAAGACAACACAATGTTATAATGTGATTTTACCAGAATAAATAAAACAGTACAGAATAAAACGCTACAAAAATGTTATTAAATTCTCCTGACTATAATAAATATCAAGGCTAAGGCCTATCAGTATCATTATGAAGAGTAACATAATTTAGAGCTAGAAGCCCGACAAAAATATGCATGAAAACCCAACAAATTCCAAGATTACCTGGATTCCCTACAAGCAAGCTACCGTTTTCTTCTTATTTAAAAAAAAAAAAAGAAAAAAAAAAGAATATCCAGCTGCAGCTGCATTCTCCCAGTCACCAAACAGTTGACAGTTGCAACAAAAATGAAACATCACAGCCTTTGTGAAGGTAGGATTTATTACAGGGCAGTTGTATCACTGTATTGGTTTTAGCTAAGAGCACCTATAATGTCATGTCCATAAGAAACATGTGTCCCACAGTGTGAAACTTGTGACCTTGTTTTCATCATTGGTACAATGATCACGCAAACTGCAGTTATCATAATGATGATATAATTACCTACCAAAGTGTAAAAGCCGACCTCAAGATAGAAAATACTTGTTCACCTAACAACAGCTGAGCTGTATCAGATTGATCTGAACAAGCTCTATCAGCGGATGGAGACACATTAAAAAGCTGAAGATAACTTTTTTCAAACACATTCTTTTAAAAAAAAAAAAACATAACAAATCATAACACAGCACTGGATGAACACAATATTCAAGTTGAACATCTTTGTTGGTATACACTTATTGGGAAAAAAATGATGTAAGGACAGTCAGTGGAAACCAAAACTTTTGAGGGGTGGATTCAAAATTATACCAAAATCTAAGTGAAGAATTAAAACCACAGGCTGATCCAACTTTGGTGAATTTCATCACAAGAACTCATGATGTGCCTCCAGACTCTTTCACATGTGCTCAGTGTGTACCTGCTCTCATCTGTGAAGAGAACTCGGTGCCAAAAGCGAACCTGCCAATTCTGGTGTACTCTGGCAAATGCCTGTCGAGCTCCACGGTGCTGGGCTGTGAGCACAGGTCCCACTAGAGGACGATGAGCCCTACTGCCACCCTCATGGAGTCTGTTTCTGACAGCTTGGTCAGAAACATGCACATGAGTAGCCCTCTGGAGGCCATTTTGTAGGGCTGTGGTGGTGCTTCTCATTTTTTCTGGCTCTGTCTCCTGGTATCTCTTCCGTTCTTGAGGCTGTGCTGGGAGACACAGCAATGGTATGTACTGCTGTGTCATGCAGGAGAAGCTGGACCACCTGTGCAACCTGAACGGTCTGCTGGGACGGCCTCATGCTACCAGCAGTCATAATGGCAGTGGCAAAATGCAAAACTAGATAAAAAAATCAGTCAAGAAGGAAAAGCAAAGAGACAAGCTGTAGCCATCACATGTTTGGGGTTTGTCTTGCTGTTGCCTCTCCTGTCCACCTGTTGTCACTGTCATGTCTACCAAAGCGGGTGAAACTGAATGACAATCACTTGCACTTCCTAACTGAACAGATTTATATCCCAGAAGTTCAGCTGAATCGTTGTTATACTGTGATGATTTTTTTTTTTTTTGAGCAACGCAGTAACGTCTCTGATACACTGTTTTAGGGTAAGCTGCTCCTGAAGTCAGGGTTATCAATGATATCTGTGTAATAGGGAAAAGGACACATTATTGTCATTACAAATTCAATTTAGAGAAACGTTTTTATCAAATAAAACAAAATAAATACTGCCATGCCAAATTTCATAGACTTCTTTTATGTAGCCACGATCGTATCAGGATGACATCAATGATGACATGAAGTTGGAATTAAAGCACAGCAGAAAGTCTTTCTCATATAATTTATTAATTCATGAACACATACTCACAAAACCATTCTGGTTGCAACACAAACAATTAGTTTCTGCAGACAGATGGGAATGTTTAATATACTTTTATATAGTTTGTCTTTTTGTAACACAAATCAAACAACAAAACACAAATAATGTAAACGTCCACTGTGATCTGAACAGGGAGAGGAGGCAAAAGGGCCTAAATGAGAGAAGAAAGATTTCATGTACTGGGCAAAACATTTAGTAAACATCTGCTCTCTGCATGTGGCCCAAGTTTATGCATCTACCAAGGGTGCTTTTCTGTTGTCGTAAGAAAATATGAATCCACTGAAAAAAAAATTCCAGCATTTAATTAAACAATACCCATCTTGTGGAAAAGATAAGAGAATGTTTGACAATAAACCCTCAGCAAATACCACTACGATGACATGTATGAAGCTTTAGGTTTGTATCTTTGGGTTTAGGAAATGACAATCAAGTGGAATCAATATCTTTGACAATCTCAATAAAACCCAAACCTACTGAGCTTCACTTCTCTAGACCTGACTATTGTATTTTAGGGCATTAGTTCTTTCGATAACCCCCTATTTATACACGTTTCTTCAGCAGAAAAACCTTGTTTTAGTGGCGGATACTACATAGCATTCATTAAAATGAAAACAAAGAAAAATAAGAGGGAGATCCAGCAGTAAAACAATCCAATAAATAAGGACTGATCTAAAATTTTCACGATATGTTCACTTTTTTGCAATCAAGGGTAGATATTACAAGCACAGACACTTTCCATACACGACTTCTGGACACAAATACACTACAGTACATCTACAGAAGAGAGATTATTGCCCTGTTCTCATTCAGGGTAGGGAAGAAGTGGGGTGGTGGTGGTGGTGGGAGGACGTGATTCATGGAAAGGAGAAAAAGTAGAGGTATTAACAGTGGAGAAAGAGGATGGGATAGCTGAAGATTTGATAAGTCCCTGCAATTGCAAGGGCTGTAGGATGAGGTGGAAGGAAGGAACATGGGGTAGGAGGGTGGTGGGTAAGAACCAGAGCATCCTAAGTGTGCCTCAGTGACGGGCAGCAGACTCCCTGGGATAAAACTCAGCCAGGGTGCTCTGGGGAATCCTCTTGAGCATCTCCTTGGGAAAGATTCGCAACAGCTGCCAGCCGATATCCAAGGTTTC